GTGTGTGTGTGTGTGTGAGAGTGTGTGTGTGTGTGTGTGTGTGTGTGTGTGTGAGAGTGTGTGTGTGTGTGTGTGTGTGTGTGTGTGTGAGAGTGTGTGAGTGTGTGTGTGTGTGTGTGTGTGTGAGAGTGTGTGTGTGTGTGTGTCTGTCTGTCTTGAAGGGTCGTTACATCATTGAAGTGTCATAATAAACACTGAGAACTGTCCGTGCATTACATGTGCATGTGCTCATTAAAGGAATAATTCAGCCAAAAATGAAGATTCTGTTATCATTTACTCGCCCTCATGTCGCTCCAAACCCGCTTGACCTCCGTTCTTCTGTGGAGCCCAAAATAAAGTGGTTACCAAAAAGTTCATGCTAAAATGAAAGAAGCAGGGTTATTATAGTTAACTAAAACTAAAACCATAAAAAAAATCATTACTTGAAATAAAAAATAAATAAAATGAAATCAATTATAAAAAACTTAAATGTATTAAAACAACTAAAATAAAAAATAAAACATTTGAAATAAACACTTGCAATAAAATAAATGTTACCTGAAATAAAATATAACATGTAAATATGTTTAAAAAATCATATTAAATATATTAATATCTAAATGTATTTTATATAAAATTTTAATTTAGGTTAATGTGATGTACTAAAATAAATAAAACTAAAATAACAAATATATATAATAAAAATAATAAAATAAAAACTATATAGACACATGCAAACAAATAATAATAATAAATGACAAAACACTAACTAAATTACTACAACTTTAAAATAAAAACAGAAAATGTAAAAATAATTCAAACTATTAATAAGAACTATAATATTATCTAAACACCATGGAATAAAAAAAGGTAATTTCAACATTTTATCTCACAATTAAGACTTTTTTCTTGCACTTCACAGAACTGCAAGATAAATTTGGATGAAAAAAATTACCTTTTGCATCTTATTTATTCCATGAAACAGGCTTCCGTACTAAACACCTTAAACACAGTGTTTGCAAACGAACTCTTCTGAACTCATATAATATGGTTTATGTGAAAAACAGAGTGAAATGCATCAGACACGCAAGAACCTGAAACATTCAAGACTGCTTTTATGATTTGCACGGTGGTTTTCTTTACTATCACATTGTGTTAAACATCTTGGTGTTCCACAAAAGAAATTAAGTTACACAGTTTTGAAACTACTGAATTGTAATTTTTGGGGGGTGAACAAACCATTTAAGCCTCTTTTCTTTGCTCTTTCTCGTTTTGCAGTGCATGTCCAATTCTGTCTTCTGTTCTTTGACCCTCATCCGCCTCTCTTTCTCTCTCTTTCTCTCTCTTTCTCTCAGTGAGTAAGACAAACCTGTCCGTGCACGAAGACAAGAACCGAGTTCCCTATGTGAAGGTGAGCTGAATCACGCTGCGTGAACACACTCAAAAATCAGCACCAATCGAACCTTACTCAAATAAATGAGTCACTTTCAGAACTCAAAACTTCCTCCCGTCCAAAAAGAGCCTTTACTGGGAAAAAAAACTTTCAAAAATAAGATAAATATTATCATTCCTCATCATATATGACATAATATATGCTAGATATATAGATAGATAATATTTTGAATCATATCAGATTTCATATCATGCATGATATATTATATTGGATTGTATCATATCATATTTCATAATAAAAAACATTTATCAAATCATATCATGTATTGTGTTATATCATACATAATATGAAATCATATAACTTATAGTACTGCATCATATATTATAAATTGTATTATATCAAATCATATCATATAGTATCATAATAATGTATATATCATAATATATCATATATTTTATCATATCACATCGTGTATCTTATTATCTCATATCATATGTAATCATCATCTATCACATTGTATCTTATCATATCAAATCATATCATATAGTATCATAATATTGTATATATCATATGTAGGAGCCATGCTTGAGGCATCATATTAATCATATCATATATTAAATCATATAGTATCATAATCTTGTATCATATCCCATATCATATCATTTATCTCATATCATATCAAATCATATTACATGTTATATTGGACCATATATATACATATGTGATCGAGTACAGTAACATAATATTGCATCACATATCTTATTTGATATATGATAATATACCATACTGTATGTGATGCTATTTAAGCCTGTAATATGAAGCAGTGAGACACATGATGGGAATCATTTCAGAATGGATGTGTTGAAATACTGACTGTTGAATGATAAACAGACTCATTTTATGAATTCATCTTGTGTCAGTTTATTACTGATGAGAGACTGACAGTGAAAGAACCATGAGATCTCAGGGAGCACCTGCTATTATTAGATAAAGACCAGCCATCACATTCAGTGTGTGTGTGTGTGTGTGTGTGTGTGTGTCTGT